CAATATTAATTTCCTTTAATTTATTAAAAATCATCAAATCATTTTTTTCAAATAATCTTTCTAATTTTTTAATCAATTATTTTGCAACCGATGACCAAACCTCTTTTTATTCACCGTCAATATTAATTTCCCTTAAACTCCCTAGGAAACCACAATGTAAATCAAAATACTACGCCAGTCACCACAAAACTCTCTTTCTGATCACCATCGTATCTTTCGCCAACAATTTCAATCTCCCGCGCGGAAATCACATGAGTCATCCAACGAGACCGACAATCGAGCAACAGACTTTACTGCAACATTTATTATTTGTTTGCGGGCCAAACTTTTCGGCCTAACCTAGCTATTTCGGGTTTGTTTGGTCACGGTTTACAACACTCTTTTCCGAGAGAGCGCTTCAATCACCGGCCTATGCCCTCTATCGCCGCCAAACCGATACTAGGGAATTACATATTTATCTTTCTTAGCGTTACGAAATTCGAAATGATGAAGACGTAGATAAGTACAAGTGTATTGCCGTCATCGACAATTTTGATCTCCACGAGAGGATCATCCTACTCATTTGAAGTATCGATGTTTATGAAAAGGCTAAGCCGATGGTTAAATGGAAGATTTTGTTGGTCGGCTTAAATACCGTGTTAGTCGCGCAATATTGCAATCAATAGGCGGTTGGCGAATAGGTGGACAGATATGGTCCGGTTGGTTCTTATGGGGAAAAGGTATCGACGGTTCATCAACTAACGCGGTCAAGGTTAGATGGAAGAGAGATAGAGGGAGATAAAAAGGTGATTATGTGGATTTTGGGATATATTTATATGAAACATTGGGATTTTATATAGGGATTCGTGAGAATTTTAATTCCAGAAAATTTTTTATAAAATTCATTATAAATTTTTACATAAAATAATAATGTAATATATATTTTTATTTCACTCGCTTTTGTTACGTGACTTCTATGAAAAATTCAATAACTTCAAACAATAATCAACCTGAAACCACCGTCAAAACCCAATATGCTATCCCCCTAATTGAATTCCCCAGAAACAAAACTGCCTCAAAGGAAATCTTCCCCTCACTTCTGACCACAATCGACCGCTGAAGACGATCGAAAAACCGCAAAAACTCGATCCGACGAACGGACCCCGTTTACCCGAACAAATCGGTCGAGATCGAATCACGGGCAAACGATACCGTGCAGGATGTCATCGTCGCGCTAGATAACCAACGTGAGTAACGGAGGAAGAAGGCGGACAGGACAGGATAGAGAAAAGGATGCAACAGTCGAGTGCACATTCTGTTCGAAAAAAGGTGTATGCAGAAAAGTAAGTTGAGACGATGATTAGGGAGAATAAAGAAATAAAAAAAATGAAAAAATGAAAACATGAAATTAAATCTAAAAAAAGGAAACAAAAAGAAAAAATAAGAAAATTTATTCAATATATATTATATCAGATATATCTAGTTTAGAGTTTGGCATGCAATTTTTTCTTAGACAAATTTATTTATTTATTTTTTTTTCAAAGAAGATCGAAATCATAAATAAATATTCTAATATATCCATAAAAAACATATAATCGTTTAATATTTTGTTTGCATACTAATTTTTTTTATATGTTACGTAATAAAATATATACAAATATTAAATAATTTTTGTCTGAACGAAACTATGCATAATGTTAAAACATTACCATATCATTCATGGAATATATTTCTAATTCATATCTTTTAAGAATCATTTTGTGCCTTCGTTACTACATTACATTATTTTATTATTATATCGTCTAATCAATCGCTTTTTGCTTTGTCATTATTCATGTTAAAAACATTAGGACGTTTTTCAAAATATTTATCATTTACTTTTTCATTTACTTTCACTTTTTTCTTTGCATAAAATTGAAATGTAACGAATCAAAAGAATGAATAAAACTAGTCAAATTGAAAAACTCGTCGGTGGATAGAGGGCTCTTAGATGTTCTTACGATTCTTCCCTACATATTTACATTATTTCTCTATCGAAATATTATTCCACAAACTTTTCATCGTACAACAATTTCTATATCTAATGCAATTAATCGTAATTAACGCAACATTTCCAATCGAATACATAATAATCCAACTAATAAATATTAAGATCAGTAAAATTATTCAGGTGCACGAGAATTAGCCAGTTCACTCTGTACAGAGAAGTGTAGTAAGTGCATATGGGAGGGGGGAGGGGAGAGCGAGAGAGAGAGAGAGAGAGAATAATAATTCGACAAAGCGGTGGTCGGAAAGAAAGAAATCCATATTCAGATCCGATGATGTATCCGAAGGGGGCCGTGGGAGGGTTGCTCCCTATTCAAAGGGGAGAGAGGAGGGGTATGGAAGGTATGGAAAGGAAGGAGGAAGCCGCGTGAACCGTGCATCAGGTCTATACTATACTCGTACTCTTACCTTTCCATTTTTCTCATTTTTTCTTTTTTTTTCTTCTTTCTTTCTGGCTCTCTGTACGCCGTTTTGCCTTTATCATCGGCAACCACAACGGCAACTACGGGGGCACAGAGAGAGCCGGTGTAGAACCTCCCCTCTTGTACGTATGCCATGCCATGCCGCGCGACGATTATGATTCCGATTATTATGATTATGATTATGATTATTATGATTATTGTCCGGAGGAGGTATCGCGTTGCCGTCACAGGCACGTCGGTCCGCGCTTTGTCCACGTGACAGCGATAGGGCCTATTTACGTCGAGAACACACTCAACGCCGACATTATAATAGGGGATAAATCCAGCCAAAAGCCTACAATACAACGTTCCATCATAGTATTAACCGGTAAGCTGGCGGCTATATTGGTTCAATGTGTAATTTATGCGTATACATATATGTATCTATACACACACACACACACACACATACACATAAGAAATATATAAGAAAATATGATATTTTATTTATATTTATTTATTTATTTTATTTTTTTTTTTTTGGATATGATAATAGGAAAATTTTAAATTGTATGGGAAATTATATTATATTATATTATTATATTATATACAATACAATATTTGCAAGTATAGTAAGTTTCCTATCAAAATTTAAAATATGTAATAATATCATTTAAATATTAAATGATAAATATAACTAAAATATTAATCTAACAAAAAAATATATTCACATAAAATGCTATTTAATATTAGAATGATCAATCTAAACTTGGTCTTTTTATTTTAATCATATAAAAACTTATATTTAAAGCTATATAAGATAGATATATATATATATTATATATATTATAAAGATATATTTTTAAAAGAATACAAAAAAAATTGTTATTGATATTTTTTTTCTTAAAGAAAGCGTATCTATTTTCTTTATACTCAGAAGACGTTGAATATATAAAAGACGATATAAATATAATTTCATTAATTGTAACGTATCATACAATTCCTCTCATCTAATCTCAAAAATAATATATACACAAGAAGTTTAGTTTTTCACCGCGACGAAATGTGGAAAATGATAAAATCGCATTTTCATGGAATCGAGTGGAAAGGTATGTGGAAAGGTATAAGGGAAGGAAAACGAAGGTTAGACGATAAGCCGTTCATATCCATGCGTTTAGGTGAGATAAGTTTTATGATGCTCCCGTTATTTCGAAAATTCTTTCTAAAACGAAACATTATAAACAGACCCTTGGGATAGTTATTTGTGATAATTTTTATTGTCTTTAATGATTTATGATACAAATATAACCCCTTAAAATATACAGAAGACATTTAGACTATCGATAGCTCAAATATAACTTTGAAACAAATAAGAGAATTTTTGTTCCAGTTTTTCTTTATTTTGATTATAAGGATGGAATGTATATTCTTTCTTCAACTTCAGATATTAATCATGGCTATTTTGATAATTTTTTCATTATAAATAATCATTATAGCAATATATATGAGCTAATTCAACGCTAATTAGTTATTATATACATATGTATGTATGGGTTTGAACAAGTAAAAGAGCCCTTGTTTCTCTGCTACATTCCCACTCACAACCGAAACTTTGCCTCGTCCTAATTAGTATCGATTACCAAACATCCCCCTTTTCTCTGCCAGCATTATACTTGTGCAACAGTCCTCGTTCGTATCTCATTCTATCGAGGGGCCCCCTAGTGACTTTCAGAGAAAAAGAGGATGGCCCCCGGGCCAACTTCAGCTGAGGGGTGGCCATTAGATTGTAGCTGGAACACCAAAGTTTCCTCTTAATGAGTGTACACAAGTATATAGAACTCGCTATGCTCGTAAAGGAATCACGATTCGTGTCGTTTATTCCGACTAATTAATCCTGATCAGTGATTTCATCAATAAAAAAAGGTAGAAACAAATTATTAAAGAATGAGCATTAATTTGTTCAAACTTTTTCTTGAAATATTAAAAAAATGGACATATATTTATGCTATTTAATCTTATCCAAAATTTTTCGCAAGAAATTTTACTAAAAAAGAAATTTGTTATTGCTTAAAAAACTAAAATTCCAGTTTTTTCAATTGTTGTTAATAAGCTTATCCAAAATTCTATTCTTAAAATTCCAGAAAATTAGCTTCACTCGAAAGCTTCATTTCTATTCCAAGAAGCCACTCGAACTATTTCGATAACTCAGCCTTTTCTTTCAATATACATACAATTCATTCTTTCACTCGTCAGTAACGAACAACCTTTGCCTATGAATTTTCGAAGAGACAACCACTTCGTTCTTTCACGGGTTGCTATACGTTTATATCCGGAAAAACTGTAATCGGATCTCTTTCGACCAGAAGGAAAAGACACGAATAAGAAACTTTGAAGAGGCGTCACAAGGAGCGCAGTAAGCGCTATCGGCAATGATCAGACGACATCTGTCGTCGGTTTGTAAACTGACGATACCAGACGAAAGGTCGACCATTCGTCAGTTTGTCTGGGTAAGATTCGCTCCTGCGGTTCCGTTTACGAATTCACTCAGAAACGAAGATAAACAGGCAAGCATTGGTTTTACGACCATGTATACTTCATCTTAACTCACTTTCTATTTACCAGTTTTATTTAGTTAACGACAATTTCGGTCTGCATTTCTTCAAAGTGAGCCATCTTATTCAACATGATAGATGCTGGATGCGCGGAACGTAAGTGCTTGCTTAAATAAAAAATATAAGTATAATGACACTTATTACTAACAATTATACTTATATATAAAATTCATGCTATTATAGTATCTCAATGTTTCTTTTATTGGTAAATTTGTGTAAATTTGTGTAAATTATCTTGTTCATGTGGCTTAAATTAAAATTTAAATATAAGAATATATATTGATATATTCTTTTATTTTATTATTATGAATTTATAGATAATAATTTTAATTTTTAATTAATTTTATAAGAATTATAAATTCAATTTTCATTGATTTCTTTTTTTTTCTTTTAATTTCTACATACTATGGGACGATAAAAATACAAAATGTAGGTATATGTATTATATGTGTATTATACCAAGCAATACTATTATTTCTTTCGGCCTATTCGCGGTATTACTGGACGCATTCCGTTTAAAATCTTTAATCTCGTTAGAGTTAATTCCTCCGTCTATATCTTGTTAGATTCTGTGTGATCCGGTCAAGTTGATTTTTTTTCTGTATAAAAAAAATTAGCTGACTAAGAATCGAATAATAACTCTTCCTAATACAATTAAATCTTTATTGAAATCATTCGTCAAATCACTTCATGATTGTCTTTGTTATACATACATATTATCTTTCTCATACATATAATATATTATTAAAATAAAAGTTGACTTTCTTATGTCAGTAATTATTTTCAATATAATAGAATCTATATTGAATTCTATAAATTTATACAAAAAATTTGTAAAAAATTAAAAAAAAAATCACAGATATTTTATTAAATAAGTTAAATATTTTATATATACATATGTAAATAAATATAAAACATAATACAAGAAGAATTATACCAAAAGATTCACACATGTTAAAAAATTCGATTACTTCTTCCTGTTACCTTTACTATGCCCCATCAATTATCAATTTGTTAGGTTCATTACATCCATGTGGTAGCTCAACCCCTTTCTATTTGCCCCTTTCTACTCACACCATATGTCCTCATTACTCTCTTCATTTTTACTCAAGACAGCATACGCGAACCTAACAAATCATAAGTTGCGTACGATAATCGATAACTTCTCACCAGCGTCAGTCATTATATTCGTTTCTGAGAGTACATATATTTATCCGTGTTTCCTATTCGTCCCACATCGATTTTTTTCACGAAAGAAACTATAATTGCACTTTTACTATTCGTTTAGTATCGATTGAACAATTAAAAAATATTTCCCGGGATCATATAACGAAACAAGAAAAAAAAGAAAGAGGAAAAGAAAAGAGAAAGAGAAAAAGAATATAAGGAAAGACAAGAGAGGTAATGCTGAAGGAAGGAGGAAATTAATCCGTCTTTCAATTTGTGTTTTCAGAAATTTAACGTTCCAGAAAAATTATGCAACAAAACGGATAGATTAGAGAGGAAAAGTGGGTAGGACAAATGAGAAAGATTATATTCTTCTATATATTCCTTCATTGATCAGGTATATATATATGTATATACATATATATACATATATATACTCGAAACTCAACCGATGCGATGTATCGGTTCTTCTCGAGGGATCGGCGAATCATTCAGTGGGCTGCTTGAAACAAGGCCAATCTTAATTAGGGGATGCACCGGCGGATACGCTCCCATGAGATGCTCATTGTTCTCCTACCTTTTTACACCGTTCTCCGATGCGGCGCCATAGCAGAGAAAGAGGAACGTCTACATGGATGTGGTGCGTCTAAAAGTGCATGCCCCGTGCCCCTGGGATATCAAGTAGAGTACTATCGGTCTCCTCCAACGTTTACCATAGAACAGAATTCCTTGGATCGACGGAAGATCACGCATACATAGAGGGAGTCCGCGTATGCACACGTGACACTTAAGGTACGTTTCCACGTGGCGTTAAAAGTCACGGCGTTTGCTATCACAAATATTTTTTAGTAGTCACGTAGTTTGAGATATTTTTAAAATTATAATATTTAAAATATATTGTTTAGTGGCAATAAAAAGTTATAAATTATGTTGTTATGATAATAATATTTTCTTAATTTATATGTTTTCATACATTTCAGTGTCACTATATTTAATTACTTATAAATTATATTTTTGTTTGATTAAATGGTGATATTTTTCATGAATGTTTTCACGCAGTTTAATTTTATGATAATTGCCTATAAAATATATTTTCACGTGACTTTAAATTATGATTGGTCGAAATTGTTAAAAACTTTGTTCATTTTCAATTGTAGCGTTATAAAAACAAAATGAAATATTATTAAATATAATTTTTACGTGATATGATATTAATTTGATGATTTCTTATTTCATCGCGTGAATGTTACTTAATAACCCAATTCATTGTGTTTCTGCTTGATTGCTATGTTTCTATGTAAATAAATGTATTAAAAAATTAATATATATTATTGAGTGATCTTCGATCATTCGTTTACTTAAACTAAATATAAAATAATGAATTTGTAATTTTAAAGTAAAAATAAACAATGAAAAGATTTTTGTTTTTTTATTTTTTAAAAGTAAAATTATGTCGGCATTAAATGTATTAAGCGAGGAAATACATTTTTTTAAAGTTGGAAAAAAACTGAATATCCTATTATAAATAAAAAATAAAGTAAATAAATAGAATATGTATTTTTTAAATTATGAATATTATCATTATAATTCGTATAAATCACGAAAAGAACTTTTAAAACAACTTAATATATTATATATATTCATATTTTCAGATATATTTTCACAGATATATGCGTGTTTGATTCTTCACAGAGAAGTATGATTGACGATGTTCTAAAATAACAGACAAAGTTGGAGAAGCTTTTCGAATAGACATAAAGATCTCTGCAATATAATAACATTACTGATGATTCGTTTGTCGTTAATGCGAATAAAATCAGCGTATGATTGCTTTCTTGGATAACAGTAAGGATAAATAACGATGGATAATTTAATAACATGTTTCTGGTGATTATGGAGTAGTTATGCAAACACGAAACCTAACCAGATTAAATATAGATATTCTGATTGACAAACATCGTATAACGCGATATTCAATATGAGAATCAATGATGATGATCATGAAATTAATTTCATTAAAATAATGAAATTTGTGCTTTTTTAATTTTGGTATAAATTATTTGTAAATTTGTTTATTGGAATAATTTTGGCAATTTTTTTTTATTATTATTAATGTTATTGTAATAGTAACATTATTTCATGACTTTCAATGTTTTCATACAGATTATTCATAAATTTATTCTTAAAATAAAGTAAAATATTTTTCAAAAAAATAATTATACCAAAAATAATTCTAGTTTATCATAATAAAAAAATATTATTAGAATATTAAATTAAAAATATAGTATTTTTAAATTCTTTTTTTTTTTTGCATAGTATTTCAGATTTAATTACTTTAGATAGAATAGTTATTTCAAAGGAGCATTCATTTATTATATAATATAATAGAATATCATTCTTTTTTAAAATAAAAATAATAAAACAGAACTGATACAGACAATAATACAACAAATACTCGATAAAACAAAAAGATCCGTTGTCAGCAACATTTTAACCAGTGATTTCATTTCAAAGGCGACCAAAGAACAAAAGCATCGACTACACGCTTCATTTTCTTCACCATTCGTTCCTACTGTCTCACCCCTGGCCGGATTTTTTCATTTCTTAAAAGCCTGCCTACATCTACTGCATCGTACAATCTAAATTAAAACTACCTATCTGGGACAACAGTACAAAAACCTGTCGATATAACTTACATACCAATACCGTTTTCTTTACTTCCATCCCTTTCTCCAATCTATCAAACAATTCCGCAAATTAAATAACTTCAATGAACTGTGAGAGAAATTAGCTAGAAATCATAATCTTTTAAATCCATGAATTCAACGAATATGAAGAGAATATAAAAACATTTTATCCATCTTTTTTAATATATTACTTTTCAATTTTTTAATATTCTTTCCATTTTATATTTTACATTAAAAAATTATTTGTTTATTTTGATTTATAGGTACATTTACAGAAATATCGAAAAACATCAATTATTTAACTTAAAGATAATATTGCTATACAGCGTTCATTTTTCAGCGATAATTATTACAATGAAATTAAATTATTTGAATATTAAAAAAGAGGATTGTAATTTAAAAAATTATTATTTCAAGAAAATCATACGCAATTATCTAATTTATCTTTCAAAATTCTATTTTTATTATATTTTATTATTAAAAAAAAATTAAAAAACAATAACTTGTATAAATTCGCGGTTTTATTCCTTTCCCTCATCAAGATCCACTCAATGAGACAGCGCACGGTGTTGCGCGAAAACAGTTCGTGTTGGTTCAGGCGTTGGTTTTGCGGCGGGTTAAAGCTCGTTCACGCGTGAAACAAGGAGTCCGGACCAGGGATCTTAACGCTCGGTTAGACAAACGTTCTCGTTGTTTGCATTAGCATATTGCGATTTACATTTCCCTGTATTATCGACCCCTAACTACCAACCGTTGTTTTGTTCAGATTGTATATCTATCCATTTTATTCTGTACCATATCCTCCTCCTTTCTCTCTCTCACGCTCGTATTGAATTTCATATATTTCGCCTAAAGCAAATAAGACGAGGCATACAACGCGAACGATAGCAAACGATCGATTGACTCTGCCAATTCGATTCAACTATCCAAATTGCGACTGATTCAACTGGATTGGTTTATGGATCTAATTTATGATCAGAAAAGAATATGACGATAAACGAAGAATATTTGAAGAAGATTTACATTTATTTAATGATAAGAAAAGAAGAGGAATAAATTAAAAAATTGGAGGATTGTTGATTTTTTTTTGATAAGTTTTGTAAAATAAAATAGATATCAATAAAAATAAATATACGATGAATTATATGAAAAAATTATATGAAAAGACATGAAAAAATTAGAAATTTGTTCTAACAAAAAATCGATATGGATGTGAATTAAGAAATCGTACGGAAAATATATAGCCATACAATAGAGAGGTTCACATGTCTAATATATTATTTTTTATTTATATTATTCATTAACTTTCATTTCTCTGTACATCAAAATTTTTACATATATTTCATTATTTATTAAAGTTTAAAATTTTAATTTTCTTTATCAATGTTTATTGATAAAATTTTATAATAAGAAAAATGTAGCGAATCATGAATCATATTCTCATGCATGAGAAAGAAAATATTCCGCTATTGGAATACAAACATTCTTTGATTAATCATCATTGATTACGGATAACTATGTGTGTCTTTTCTTTGCAAATCACGTTTTAATTCAACATATTGTATGGCATTCTTTACCACAAATAGATTACAAAAGAAATTATAAAGATTATGTTAAATCAAAGAACGTTCAAAATACGAGAAAATGTTACTTCTAAATACCAGGAAATTCAAGATAAATGACGATATTAAAATCATACTATATATTTCATCAACACGCATTAATATATATCTTTCATCTTTCTTTCTGTCGAATAAGATTATTCAATTATTATTTATAATAGTTAAATTTTTTTTAAAGAAATTATTTTCTATAATGGTTTTTTTTTATACTATTTAGAATTTTTATGTGAATTCTTAAATATTGCTATAATTTAAGAGATGTATATATTTATTTTTATTGAATTTTAATTATATTTAAATTGTATTTCACTATATTTAAAAATGAATTATATTTTATTATATTTTAAAATTATACTTTTATTATACATATTATTTTTTTCAGATTACATTTAAAAATTATATATATATATATATACATGCATATTTATTTGCAATCAAAAATAACAATTATTATAATATTATGTATTACTATTATATATTAAAATATAGAATAATATTTACATGAAATTAATATCAGAAAATAATATGAAGAATTTTAAACGATTCAACTGATTTCCTATAAACATTCGATTCTAACCTTATCTTTGATCAATTACACTAAACTCATTTCACACTTTTACACTTTTACTTCCACTAAAAACTAAATCATTTTCTTAAAATATATCAATTTTTAAATAGTTTAAACGGAAACAATCACTGGTTCAATCAACCACATTCCGTTTTGTCCGACAATTGACGAAGTAAAGAATGCGCGTGCCTATATATAAACTTACACGAAACGATTGCCGAAAGCTCTGGCGGTAAATATCGCTGCGAGTTCTAGATGGGTCTATTCGCGAAAGGGATCAGAAAACAGTCGGTAGAGAGCGCCGCCGCGTGCTCGAGGACAAACGAGCAGTGGGGGGTACGCGTGGGCTGCATGGTGTCGACGAAGGCATCGGAAGCGCGATTTATCGCGCGCACACTCCGCGAAGAAAGAGTCGTCCCGCTGGTGGTCGTTAATTCTTGTCGCACGTGTCCCACCGCTTTGATCACGCGAGTATGCTAATTGCACCGTCCACCGCCCACTCGCTGCCAGTGCATGGAAAATCGTCGAGAGTTGACAGCGACCAAAAGTAAGAGGAAGATGAAGGAAGAGAAGAAGGATCATGATGATGGAAGAGGGAAGGAATAGCAGAAAGAAGACCAAGAGAAGAAAGAAGAAAAAGTGGAAGAAAGAGAAGAAACTTAACTTGAGTCGAGTGGGATGGATTTTGCCATTCTCCATTGGCGTGTACGTTCTGTTGGCACATGCGCAAGTACCGATTCCAAACATCGAAAGACATGCTAGGAATATAGGATAATCAGCTTAACATTTTGTTGCGACGCATTTTGTTTTTGATACATAAATTAAATGAAAGAAAAGTAAAATAGATACATTGAATTGATGGTTTGATGACTTGTTGAAATATGAAGATTAGTTTTTATGATTAGAAATGAAAATGAAAAATAGAATTTAAATTTAATAAGTTAATTATAATAATGATAAATTGTAGTAAATGTTAAACTCATATCTGGAAATATAATTGTAAGTACAAAAAGAACTATAAAAAGAAATCATAAATCTTCAATTCATAGAAATGCGATTGAATTATCTAAAATCAGAAATTATTATGAGAAAATACAACATACAATACTATGATTATTAACACTCGATTTAAATTATTTTCAAATAACTCAATTTTTAAAGAAAATTTAATTAGAAACATTCATAAAGAAGAATATATCTCATCGACAAAAATGATGTAAGTAATATCCGTTTTGATATTAAATTTTTGTTTCATAGTCACATTTTTCCAGCCATTACAGTTTCCGTGAAAATATAACTTAATGGACCAAAACGAATTTCTATGGAGAAGAAAGTATGTCTGTGGTTTTCCAGGGGTAAAAAGGACGGTGCACGCGCCGCTTGCAGAAACGTTTCGTAAATTCGAAGAATGGCTGGAAAGAAGTGGCCGCCACACAAAGCGTGCCGACACAACCGGGCTCGTTTGCCCCGCGGAGGTAATTGTCTTCTTGGCCGCACGAGAGCGCACGTATTCCGCAAGCAAATACACACCAAGAGGCTGGCTTACATACAGCGTTCTCACGGGATGGAGAATAAACACCATGGTCCGGTCTGTTACCGACTTTTCAACTTTTCGTTTCCTGGACACGGTTTGTTGGAACATTCTCTCATTCGTTCAGTTGTCGATTTGTGGATAACGAATTGCAGTGAATAGAAGAAACTTTTATATTGTTTATATTGATGTGTGAGTAACAAAAATATAACGAATCAAAGGAATATTTGTATGCTTATTTTCTATCTGATATTTTTAGGTTATATTTTATTTCTCTTTTTCAAGAGAAGAATTCTTGTAATTGTAGATAACATTTAAAAAGTAGAAAATAAATGAGATTATAAAAATGAAAAAAAAAAGGAAAAAACAAGGAATATAGTTATTATTGAATTTAAAATAAAATTGGAGAAAGAAATAATGTTAAAAAAGAAAGAAGTAATTTAAATTATAAAATTATAACGAAGATGTTAATTGTTAAATTATTTTGTTTCAAGTAGTTAATATCTATTTTGTTTTTCGATCTCCAGAGACCGGAAAACCCGTTGAAAATTTATCGAGCGCGGCTGTAGAATGTCTTTTCGTGATTATTCTCAGCTTAACGTGCCACGTCTCTCTTTGATCCTTCGTGAAGTATAAATCGAAAGAAACTTACACAGCAGAATATTTATGATATTCGAACGAGAAATTTTTTTTTAACTCGAGGAAGACATATTCCTAACAAAACTGATTCGTCGGTACCTATGAAGTCTTGTAATAAAAAATATCAGCGGAAGTAGTACATGATGTCACACTATATTGAAAGAGTAAAACAAATTTTTTTTTCCATATATTATTTAGTCTCTTCTATTATTATTTTTATTATATATAATAGAAAAAAAAAACGTTTTTACAGTATACCAATTCATCAAAGTTGCATTAGTTATATGTTTAATATAATTAATAATTTTATTTTGCATTAAAATTTTATAATAAATTATTCTTTGCAATCTGAAATTAACCTAAATAATATTATTTAGTGAATGATTTAATATGATTTATATAATAAAAAAAATTAATTCAATATAATAATTTGCAAATGATAAAAATTCTAAATAGCAATACCGAATACATAAATTCAAACATCCAAGTAGAATGTACAAGATGTCCTTAATATTCCAAACAAGGTATTAAGTTTCGAAAAAGGGGCCCTCTGATAACATTGCAAATAATTTCTGATCGAATATCATTTTTCACTATTGAATGATCCGGCTTGATATACAGCGTCAAGCGGTATATGGGATGCCCATATATCGAAGCCCCAATAATCGCGGCGAGTTAATTCGTGTTTGTGCGCGCGGCATACGGTGGTGCATCATGTTGCACCATCGTGCATAATAGCGCACTGCATCAACAACGATGTTTACCTTTGGCGCAATATACAAACAGATGTATCTCGACGCGGAGAGTTTCACTTGCCGCGGATCATTTTACACGTACGATATTTCTGTAAATTATCCTCACCGTATGCGATCCATCCCCCTCTCCTCAGTCACCCCTCTGGGGGAAAACGTTTCGATTTGCATTGCATGAGAGAGTAATAATTCTGTCCATTAACCACCGACCACGTGTGTGGTCTGATAGAAAACGATTTATGACTGAGATGATGATTTATTTTTGGACAATGTTTGAACTAGTGATTTTTTTTTTGATTTTTTCTTTTTTTTTTTTTTTTGGACATCGAATAGAAATGAATTTAAGAAATATATTATACAATACTGCGTTTGTTTCATTATGATAATTTTATATGATTAACTCTAGTATTATTTTTCATTTATATTATATTGATTTGATATTGTTTTCTGTATCTTCTTACCGTGCTACCGGTGTTATCTGGCATTAGCATGACAATATTACGTATTACGGATTGTTTGGACATTTAATATGATATACTTTTTAATTAAATGAAATAAAATATCTGTTTTCCTTGATAAAATAAATATATATACAAAATGTTAATATGTATATTCATGGTATCTTTCGGGAATTGATTTTAAAAATCTAAACAAATAATAAAAATTGATGTATAAAAATAACTTATCTATTACATTGAAACTTATCTATTACAAGCAAATTAAATGTGTCAAATAAAATAATATTTATATTTATCTCATTCCATCTCCATCTCGTTTCATCTAACATAAATTTATAACTTAATAAGCTTTAATCGATATTTTTATGTACCATTTGTATTTATTTTGATTCATTAAACTTCTACGAATATATTAATATTATTATATTAGCATCTTATATATAAAATTCCAAATTTATTAAATTTTTAAATTAACCTAGATATCTTTTTCTGTTCAATGTTTGTTCTAATTAACAAACAATAAATAATTTACAATTCCATATTCTTATAAAATTAAACTTTATAAAATGTTCTCTTATGTTATTATCAAATAAAAATTTAAGTAAAAAAAAATTAAGTTATTATTATTCCATAGTTATTTTTTTTTCTTCACATATATCCTATTAAAACCGAAACATAAAATCGAATATATATACAAACAACCAGCAGGATCAGAATATTCTCGATATTTTCAACTTTTTGGAAAGAAGAAAAGGCAGAGTCGATAACCGAAGGACTGAATGCGTAGGGAAGCGTAGACATGTTAGTGCATGGGCCATTGAGCCTTGGGAACTCTGATTAGCTCTTTCGTTTCTTATTGGAAAACTTTCATTGCGCCGCAATATGAAAGGGAGAAAATTCCATCTCGTCCTGTGGCAGGCTCAATTTACCAGAAAATTCTTTATACTTTCTTCCAATTACCTTGATATTTACCCTCCATATGTTTGGTATTTTGCTTATCTTTCCGAGTAGGGATTTTTCTGATTCCATATCTGTTAGTTTAGGATGCTTAGATGATTTATCTGAGCAAATTATCGTTGGAAAAAGTACTAAAGAAAAAACGAAACTAGTTAATTTTATTCTAAATATTCAAAAAGATTAAAGAAGTTAGAAAAAAAAATAATTTATGCATCATTATAAATTATTTATATTTTACATGTTATTATTATTATTTACTTACAATTTAAAATTATTCAAAGTTTCCACTTTTTCTCATTTTATTCAATATAACGTATATATATAATATGATATATATTCTAAAGATTTTATTATTATTAGTTATGATCATAATTTCGAGAATGCATTTAAGTGCAATCACGTATTATACGTACATTATTGATACATATACTACATAATGACCATCAATGACTAATGAATTGTAAACGTCAAGTTCTATGTCGGTTATCCGTGACCGTCATGCCAGTGAATGTGTTAACTTAGGTCTGCTCACTAGCAAGGTCCTTCACCACTTGTAATGAAGTCGTCGATTGTTCACGAGTGGAACGAAGGAGATTATTTAACACATAAATTAAGTGAAAATAAAAATATTATTCTTGGGAGAAATTTTTTAATATTGGCTTCAATATTCACATGTTCTCAATATACACATTCTTTTTATATACGATTGATCTAAATAGTTTTTAAAAAAAGAATTAAGATAATAGAAATTCTTTAGCATGAAATGAATATACGAACAGAGAAATCTTAACCTATCTTGACCAAAATATCTATTGATAATAAAACCTTTATTCATTAAATGTTCACTAAACTTTTCGATTTAATAAGAAAACACTGATTAATTAGAACAATTAAAATGATTAATGTTTAAAAATATTCCTCTTGAAAAAAGGAAAGAAAATCTCATATAAAAAACTATACATGAATAGCTTATCTATTGCACAAATCATGAAACTTGTAATGCGCATGTGCACAAAGAGAAGAAAGGCGCATGCGTCGAATAATATTAAAATACAGTTCCTAAATACACATTTTATTTTTCATTTTTATTTCTCTTAATTTGCACAGTTGACAGTAATTGCAGATACAAGTTTAGAATTAATCGATCAAATTTCTTAATATATCATTATTAAATCTAATTCCAAGAATTTGATAGATCTATACATACCACATGAGAAATTGAATAGAATCGACGATACCTTACTTTTCCCGAAAGATATACTGCTATTACAAGATTTTACTTATAGAATCATTCTGGAATTTTCACGAAAAGCCTATGGATCAGTGAAAAAGGGTGCAACCGGATGTGCAACGGGCTTGGTAGATTGCGTGAGCGTGGTCGAAGCTGTGACGAGGCTAGAGAGACGCGGCACTTTATGGTGAACGCATTTTATTGCCTGTGGCTGCCGTACAGGCGGCGTGGTTCAAAGGACCAGCCGGAACAGTAAAAGCTAGTTTAACGGTGCTAACAGCGGCTGCAACACGCCGAATGTATTACTATACCTCACGAGTCCTCTACTTTTCTCCGACCCATTCGCTTCACGCGTATACGCATACACAACATACATACGTATGATATTCAATATGTGCATACACGCATACAAATTCGGACACGTATTGGACACACTACACTGTACACTAGTGCACACAAACACGCTAAACATGCTCAATACACGCGAAATTATACATAAGAATGACAAATATATGAAAGAAATGTAAGCGTACACATATACACGAAACATGTCCAACTGTACTCGAGCGTATACACACGACAGAAGCAAATACACGAAAGACACGTTTCCATTTCGTTCTTTTCCTCACTTTATTCTTTCTCGTTTTCTTTTTCTTGTTCCAGGAGTTACGGCCACTACCACGAAACCGATATCCCTGTCGATAGTACGATAATTTACGGCCACGCGCAGCTTTAATTAAATTTTCTAGCTGTACCCGGGCCCGGCAGGTGAATGACAGCGGCACTGGTCTTCGACGGATGCGGCGACGGAAGTGGCAGAACGAAGACATATGTGGGAGCATCGAGTCGATCGGTGGAAATAAATTGTTGAGAGAGAAATTGAGGTGTTCGATTGTCGTTCGAAACGTGATAGTGAATTTTCGTAGAAAGATTTATTGGGTTATTCAGTAACGTCATTTAAAAACACGTGGTCGCAAAGAATTATAAGATTTTAAATAAAAATTAAAATCAAATTATCATGACTATGATTTCTCTTAACTTAAAATTAAAATCAAATTATCATGACTATGATTTCTCTTAACTTGCATATATATATATATGTAAGGAAAAAAATATGTATGAAAAATTAAATAGATAATGTGTAAATTTTTATATACAAATAATTGCTATTCGAGAATTGTAAAAATATTTTTTTTTCACTATGAGAATGCTTGATACAGAGAAATAATAATGGCAAAAATTACAAAATATAATTAGTTATATATATATTAATTAATATAGTATTTAATAAAAAAATTAATAATAGATTTGCGTAATTGAAAAAATAAGAAAGATTGTTGAAAAGGAAATTAAAATCTCAATTATAAAAAATGATCCTCATAATTAATTAACAATTAATTGATTAAAATATATAGATGTAAATATAAGTTGTAAATAACAGTAATAATATAAGATATATATTATTTTTCTAAAATGCTTTTAAAATGATATTCATAATTTATAATTTCTTCAATTCTAATTTTATTTCGTCATAACTATTTTATGTGAAAATTTTAATTTATTATTTTTCCAAACTTTAATGATTCTGATATTTATAATTTAAGAATAATTTTTTTTTATATGAAAAAGTTTCGTGATCGAACATAAGTTACTTTATTGATTGAAGTGAATATAAATAGAGAATAAGTGTCATTAATTCCGAGAAAGTATCAAGATTAATGTTAATGACACAGAGAAATATTCTGTCATTATATTTAATATCGAAGCAGGCTTGCAAATTATTTTTTCTTTTTGCAAAAACATCTTGTTCTTTTTGTATAAATTTTTGTAAATTCTAATTTTTTCAATTAAATGTATATCCTTTATCTCTCACTTGTGCAAGTTTAATACCCTAAGCGACCATTGATTACTAGATATTAATTTATCATTTAATTTCTTATAGCAAACACGTTTTTACATACATTTTTATTAACATAATTAACCATAATTCTTAATGATTATGCTGAAGGTAAATTATATTATACTATCATTATATTATATTCAAATATCATATTATTATATTATATGTATTAAGTTCTACTTTTATCACATTATATTATCCTGATACTTATTCTGATAATATTCTATAATATATAAAATAAAATAATAAGAATTTTCATAATATATATTTATTCAACTTATATATACAACTTAAGAAGTGAAATCTTATTTACTAAGAAAATAGCTTAAGAAGTGAAATCTTATTTACTGAGAATAGAAATAAAAAGAAAAACAGAAAAAGAAGATATGAATATGTATAAAAATATTCCCTTTATTCAAAATTTTATCCAAAGATTGTTCACAATTGAATATTAATTTTTTGAAAATTTAAAAAATTTTTATCGAGTAGAAAAATTTTACTCCAATTCCGAATTAATATCTGCATATTCAACTACTTCATTTTCATCATCAATATTTACGCATGCTTATTAAACCATTCCAATATCGGCACTCGCCATTTTCTCTAAATAATCTCTCGGTTGATGATTGTATAAATACACAACATAAAGTCTATTAGCAATGCAACCGTTCTTCAGTTAGAAAACGACACAAGGACGCAAGATTCGCGGCGCGAACCCGTGCAGGAAGTGGTCCGGTTGCGCTTATAAATAAGCACGAGAGCGAAGGAAGGGCGCGGCAATCCCACTCAGCGAGGATTAAAATTGATTTTGTGTTTATGAAATGTCGCGGATACCTTGGCACGATCCGCCGCCTCCGTTTCGTCGCCTGTGGCGAACTTCCACCTTCCGAGAATAGACCGCGACTCTTAATGCATTCAGGAAGACGGAAATCAACCGAGAGAGAGGATTCTTAGAATGGTTTCATCGTGAACGTGACAATCGTAATTGAGGATTTCTTCATAGTTTTTTTGAATTCTTAACAAGAATTGTAAAACGAGATAAAAGAAAGATAAGATGATATTTTATGGATTTGATAATTGATTTACATATGGATCTGCATATTTTTTTACGATTAAATGATGTAGTTGTAGATACATGTGTAATCATATTATATATTATTAAATAATTTAAAATATAGAATATATATATATACATATTTATTTTAATCAAAATTTGCATCAAAGATTTTCTGATAGCAGGTTAAAGGAATCTTTAAAATTAATTAAACAGATAGAAAGTTGAAAATTTCATTTTTTAAAAGATAATATTAAAATTTTGATAAAGCAGAGATAGCAGACAGTAATAAAAGAAACGTTTAAAAAAAAAATAGATAACGATTAAATGACCGATTTTTAAATACATAATTTTTTCCAATTGAATACAGACAGATAATCATATCTAATTTAATGAATGCAATATAAATAATAAAAATTAAAAATAATAAATAATAATAAAAAATAATATAACGTATATTCCATTTTAATTAAAAAACAAGAAAAAAATAATGGTGATAACCAAAGACGTGTTAAAAACAGAATAGTGAAAAAAAATGGATGCTAAAATAAACTATAATAAAAATATACATATATTTTCTATTTTAATTAAAAACAATATATATATATACACACACACACATATGACGAAAATTAAAAAGATATGAAAAAAAATGTGGAAAAAAATGGATGGTAAAGATCCATAGAATGAAGGAGAAGTATGGAAGCCGCTTTCTACTTTAGAAGCATTCACGCGGTACTTATTAACGAGTACGATCCGACCGCACGTCACTCAAGTACGTCGTTTTGCTGGATGAACTTTATAAACCGGCCCTGTCCGATATCGGAAATAGGCTCAGAGAACCGGCCGGCAGGCATTAACGTTGTGAATTTGGCGACTGCTTCATCCCCCCTACCTTCACTCACCGACCTAACCTAACCCTATCCACCATTAACGATTCTCGATCGAGCTCCGTTCGTTAGGTTGTCCAGCAAGCCGTCGGATCACCGAGAATTATCGGAATGGCGGCAAGCTTGAAAAGATATTTAAATCTACTTCTCTACTTGGCCTGATATCTCGATACCATTATATATATATATGTATGTATATATTCGCAAACATTTATGTTCGAACGCCATACTAATATACATACCAATAAGAATTTTATAACGATTTCTAATTTCGAAGGAGCGGTTTTTTAAGTGTTTTAGAAGAATGTTACGGTGGGTCCCGTAATCGATTATCCTAACAGTGGGTCAGTTTCGAGCAGATGATTCTTGGATGCCGATTTAATAGCGATTGAACGAATAATAGTAGTTTGCAGTTGAAAGATTTATAATAATTGTGGATAGAAGATTGTAATAAGATGAAGGTTTAATGAAGGTATTAAATCGATTATGATTGAACTCGATTTAAATTTCCATGACAGAATATTTTTTTTTTATCATAAATTATAATTTCAAATGAAAATTTTGTTTTTAAACATTTCCAATTATAATTATTGTTATACAGTTTTATACGGTTATTAAAATTAAATTTACGAATACCTTTTAATCATCGAGAATAAATTTAAATTAGTATACACGGAATTTTCCTCTGCTATAAATTACAAAACTGTGAACATCGAATTAGATATCATTACAAACATCAAAATTTCGAACACGAGAAATGAAATTTAAAATTTATGTAAAATAACTAGAAAAATTGCTTTTGATTGAATCAAGATTTCAAGACCGCCCATAAAATCGTTTATCCGTATTCCATACAATACTGTTCGAACAATTCTCTGCCTCAAGGTATCAGTTCTAGATCCTGATTTCCTCCTCAAAAATATTTTCCTACGTTCTGTGTCTCATGAGAATATATCGAATCTCGTCGAAACACAATCTCATAAGTCTCGATAGATAAAAATTCTTTTCCATAAAAATATTCGATGCATATACGCAGGAAATGGATGATTCCGCGTGTGAGTCCTCTCTTGCGATCCGGCCTCAATTGTTGCATCCGCGACTCAAGTGGGGTAAGGATGGGAGGGGTGGGGGGAGAAGTCAAGGATGCACGGCCACGCGAACGGTTAGGATTCCAAGGAAGACCACTTGGTGTAATCTACGCCGGGACTTTTCTCCTGGAAGGGAATCAAACCGTTTTTCTCTTATCTTATTACGCTGAACATTATCTCCAGTGATCGGTTTCTCGATGGAAATTGTGTTATTGGGATCGTGTTCGAGACATGTATACCGAATTGAATTTGTCTCTTCTATTCTTAATTTGGATGAGTTTGGATACTTACTTGTATGTGTTGAATTGGTCTCTCAAGATCGTTAAAGAATTATACTTTCTTTGGCATATTATTTGATTATTCTATTTTTTCATAATTCATTATATTATACAAAAGATAATTTTTTATGCTCCTATAAGCTTGAAATAATCGTTCATTTTATAATTATAACAATTTATTAAAAGAATGTAATTCCATAATTCTTATATATTAAGAAAATATTATTTAATTTTAAATTTCATGGAATTATCTAAAAGGAATTTTTCTCGATTTTATTTTCGATGCAAACCAGCAATTTTCGTTATTTCCAAAACTCGCGTAGAAAAACTCAATTTCATAGTGAACACCCGGTAGATGAAACTTCATGAAACACGTGTCGTGACGCGCCGCTCTATCGGTAAACAGCTACACGAAAAATTGTAGAGTAGGCAAACTTGGAGAACATGAGGCGAAGCGAGAATTCACAACTTCTCTGAAGACAGAAGGATCGATCGATCGGCTCCGTCCGGTCGCTCATTTTCTTTCTCTCTCTCTCTCATCCCCTAAGATTTTTCTTAACAGAGAATCTGTCCTCCTCCTTTTATCTCGCGCCGCTTCATTCTAAGTTCCGCTACCTCTACCATCTCTGATAGATGGAATCGTTTCGTTTCTCGTACTCTCTAACTCGGCTGAACGAGAGAACTGTCCAAGTGGCGGAAAAGACAGAGGGAAAAGAGAGAAGGAAACGAGAGAAGTTGGAAGAAGCCAATCTCAGAAATGAATATGACTCTTGCAAAATTCA